ACCAACTGACTCACTCTCAATAGGTTGCAATTGTTTCACCAGACCCCGAGTTGAACACTGATGCTCGCGAATACTTTACGAGGCACATGAGGGTGTTGGAGAAGGTGATGGAAGCATGGCCGATGCCAGAGTTGGAGAAGCAGATCAACGCTCTACGAGATGCTTTCTCAGCAGATGTTCGAAAGCCATTCGTCCTGAAACCCAGCTTTCCCTATGGCAGCCCTCACCCTTCCACCCACTCCAGCCCTCCTCGAGGTAACGACTCATTCCGACCAGTAATCCACCGGACAGGGTCCATTGATCAACATTTGGATACACACGGTGCTCAACAAGTCAGTTATACCAACCACCCCATTACACCTCCTATTTCCGCGGGCCCTTTGGACAGCAAAAGTGACTCCCCAGCTGTACAGTCGCTCGTCATGATGTCACAAGGATCGCAAGCTCCCGGGATGCCCCAGAGCATGTCGCTGACGGACCAACCCGCATGGAACCCATCGCGACTATTTGAGTAAGCTGAAGTCTTTTGTCCTGTCATCTGACAGCTTGCTAACTAGTTCTTAGACAATGGAACACCACATTTGGTACGCCTGCCTCTCACACACAACCCAGCTCCACCCCACCTCACACGAGCCCTCTTAACGCGTCGTCCTCAGGTGCCACGGAAGTTCCCACTATCCAGGATATCCAGGCAGTTCAAGCTTCAATGCCTGCTGGATCACATCAAATCTCGCCATCTCAGTACTCGTCTGCACCGGTGCCAAACTTTGTCACCCCTGCAATGTGGCAAGAGTCGGTTGCAAGCGTTTACGAGGGTGGATTGAAGCGAGCATGGGGCCAGTGATAAACAGACACTGATGAAAGGATGCTATTGCTGATTGAGCTATCACCTCTCAAGGCTGAATACTCCTGAAGCTGGTTCCTACTAGGCAAAAGGCGATCTGTCAACGAGCTCTGTGCCGGACTTGGTTACAGTTACAGAGCTCCTGTTGATGGATTTGCTAAGAACATGACCCTATCAAGTTATCAGACTTGTTGCAGTCCTTGATTATACGTTTTGTCATGGACAGAACTTGATGCAGCCAGAAGAAGGAAGGGCTTGTATTATTGTATAGAAACCGGTTGATTACGATGGTTTGACAGGATTGACAAGAACATATAACGAGCCATGATGGAGGCGTTGAGAATTATTTAGGCCCACAAGCAACAAATGGAAAGGGCCCGTACCTACTATGAGGTGCGTTTTGTTTCGGTTGGACAGGCAGGATCTATGTACCAATATTTGTTTACGTGATTGACGACCTGGAAGGCTTCTGGCGGAGCATTGGGAACAAAGGAAAAACAGAAAGGAGTAATGGCTTCTGGATTGGTTTTATTTAATATGCAACGTAAGAATATCATGGTTGCGTGTACTTGGCGCTTTGTTTGAGAGCTTGATTGATCTATCCTAATCTAATGGTGATATGTGTGCTATTGAAGTGATGAACATGTAGGGGGTGTGTTCTTGACTGGGGTCATGATACGAAGTCTTGAGTTAATGAACGCGACGTCAACCAGGTACTTGCCATGGGACGTCGATCAGAGCAAGGGTCAACTTCATGTATATTGGTCTCCCACATGGAGGTTATGCCCGCTGCTCCGAATCAATGGTTCCCGCGTTGTCTTTCATTAATTCATTGGGTCATGCTGTCCGTTTCTTTAGGAGGCTAGGCCTGTAATACCAACAACGAGCGAACCGAAGAGCATTCCCGTTTCTCCGATATACCGTACATACATGGTAATACAGAACCGGACAAACGGTTCAAATCGAGACATTCCCCTTATAAGGTGACGCAGCCTTCAACGCCCTATTATCAATACGCTCCTTGATAACATCCCAGATCCAACCATCGACCTTGTCCGTCTTCTTCTGGTACCGAACCCTCGTCTGCGGCCTCTTATCCTGCACGTAGAACTTCCCGACGGCACGGAACATATACCACTTCCGCTTCGCGTTCTCTTCCTTGGTGTCACGAACGTAGTTGATGAGGCCGAGACGACGTCGCACAGGGCTCAGATCACCGGCGTGCATGCTGCTGTAGCGAGGCTTGGAGATGGCGCTCATGGTTGTTAGGGTGAGCGGTGTTGTGGGAGGGAGGGTCTTGATGAAGCGCTCTAGGATGGGACGGGATGTTCGGGCGTAGGGGGGGAGGTGGATGTGGATGTGGGTTACGAAGGGGGAGGTTATGTAGGTGACGAATATGACGGGGATGATGCCGCATAGGACGACTGGTGTTGTTAGTTGGTTTGCTGTATGGATGAGCGAGAGAGATACGACATACCGCCTGCGGTCACTAGTTCGGGCTTTTCAGCTTTGATGTAGCTTGGTGCTACGATACAGCAGAAGAATGCGCCGAGGAAGAGAGTTGTGATTTTGAGCATGGCCATGAATGTGATGCGACCTGTTCCAGCATGATATATGATGAGTTTCTCAGGGAGTTCTAAACAGCATCAGCCACTATTCTCCCTAATTTCTCAGCCAGACTGACCAAACTCCTTGCCATCTTTAGAAACAGCTCTAGCCTGTCGCTTAAGCTCGTCTTCTATCTTGATGGGTTTCTTGGGAGTATTTTTGGCGTAGCATCTCACTTGAGCTTGTAGAGATTTTTGAAGTGAGCGACGAAAGTTTCGAGGAAGGGCCGAGGATTGAAGAGGTGTTGCTTTGCGGGTGAGCGGGGTCAATTGAGTCGGCCGTAGCCTTGGTATCATCATTCTTAATTGATGCATTGTGACTGATGTGAGTTATGCCGTTTATGAGAAGCTCATGAGAGCGATGTCAAAAACTGATGGTAGTGGGGAGACGCGCTGAGGTTGGGATAATTTACACAGGGCGTTAGGTCATTTTGTCACTATGATATTGACTAATTCGGAAGATTTGGTGACAGCTTCAATTGTCTATACCATGGTTTATTCTAGTTAAAGCTTATAGCTCTTACGTTTGCTATTCTCTGATTCAAGTCAAACGACATTCTTCTGTAGCCACTCAATCCACTGCTCCTTTGTCCATCCAGAGCTGACATCCTGCACAACGCCGTCAAACACAGCAGTAGGAGTGACATGCACACCGATCAAACGGTTCATCTTGGTGATAACCTTGACATCGCTGGTGACCTGGTTACCCGCATTCAGCGCCCCATCATCGCCAGGCTTGTCAGAGATCACAAGTAGTTCAAACACCTTGTCCGCATCAACGCCAACCTTGGCAGCAACCTTTGCCAAACGACGATAGGTATCGTTTCTCTTCTCGTTCACAACATTGACATCAAAGTAATCCTGCTGCTCATCAAACAGCACAGCGCTAAACTCCCAGAACTTCTCAGGCGCAAGACGAAGAACAGCTAGAGCGACTTCGTGCATGAGCGTCGAGGAAGGATGCCATGGCTGAATCTGCTGGCGGAAGATAAAGGTGAGACTAGATGCCCAGGCTGGGTTGGCTTTGATGGCGGGGATCACGTCGTTTTGCAGGGTGCGGAAGATCTTGGCGGAGAAGGGACAGCAGTAGTCGAGGTAGAACTCAAGAGTGTGAGTGGTGTGAGCGACGGCTGAGTCGGAGGCGGGAGGGTGGGCGAATTGGAGCTTCTGCCCGGCGAATTTAGGAGGAAGAGCCATGATTGAGTCTGTGAGAAGTTGATTTAGATGAGTTGTGAAAAGAGATGTTGTTTTGAGGTTATCACAGAGTATAAATGAGGTTGTATTCATTCGTGAAGAAGGATGATGCAATTACGCAGCATCATCGCATCACGCCTTATGTAATCGTAGCTCCATTTCGTATATGATCCTAGATAAGACCCATATCGTAAAGTTTGTCACCTTGATGTCTTGATCATTATTTTCGTCGTCTTTTCGAGTTGAATCACTGTTAAGCTTATTCTTGTTCTACAGTGCTGATACAACAGCCAAGACTTTGTCGACCATACTAAACCAGTAATATATGGGTGAGAACAAACACAAGACCAGACGCATCATCGACGTAACAGTTGGCAGTCTCATCGTCACTTGGGCCTCATTTCTGTTCCGGAAGTTTACCGCACGTGAGTGCGGTCAAGCTGCAGGAGTATCTTGGACAAGTGACCAAAGCTATTGGATCCTTCGGCTTTCACCTCGATTCACCGAATTGACATGTAAGTTATACGGCATAGACATGACATGCCAAGACGGGGAGGGCTGTATTTCTCTGCCGGCGTTTGGCTTGGTTCGATGAAGCGTATTCGGTCGTATTCCTGTGGGGTAAAAGAAAATCTAGACTTTTCCACGTTTTCACGGGTAAGAGTATGTTCTTCTATTCATGGATCATAACGTAGCGTAGGTAGGTAACTACGGAGGTCTCCCGAGCTCTTGAGCCGCCCGTTCGCATGCTGTTCCGGCCGATGACCGGGACCCAACGGAGGAGAGAGATTGCGGGGACAGGTACTCCGTACAGGTACAAGGAAATGCTCGTGGTTTTCCGTATTGACCCGTGTATCTCGAGTCATGAGCCAATCAAGAAACACTGAGTCAATGTCTTCGGCTGTTGGCCACGCGGGCAAAGCCGGGGATATCGACTTCCCAAGACTAAGACAAGAAAAAGTCTTTACCTGATCTGGATCCAATGTTCATGGATGGCACCTCCCCCAGTTTCTGAAGCAGGTGAGTGGAGTTAGCTTAGCGGCTGTGTTCTGCTTATCCAGGTGCCATTTAACCCTTTTGTCTGCCGAATTTAAAGTAGTACACTACGCGATAACTCTATTCTCTTATATCTCCGTCATCGCATCAATTCCAATCTTTTAACCTCTTGACAATTGAAAAACTTATTCACTGCAATTATCGACTCATCAACATTGACTACTCTGTTTGACTGTAATCGGCCAAGACTTGCATTCGTGGCCTTTTTGCCTGTGACGACAAACAAACTTTCAAACGGCTCCCTATCAAACGATCCCCTTCACAAAGTCGGGGCTGAACTCATCATCCAAAAGTTCAAAATGATTTGCCTTTCCAAAGCAGACGAATCTTTCTATCAGCGCTTGACTTGGAATCAAGCTCCTTCTCCTCTGGCAGCCATGAATACCACGCGTCAGGATCTCAATGGCATCTCCAACCTCCGCGAGCATGTTGATGCCGCTCAGGATGACGGAAGTGGAGGCACGAGTGGAAGTCTATTGAATTCACACGATGAAAGTAATCAAGCGGGGAGTCATCCTACAGAGCCCTTCTTGGGCTCTGTTAAGGATGCGGGACGACTGTCCCGTATCTCGGGTATGTCAAAAATCTCATGATTATCCCTTGTCATAATCCACATATGAGTTTCATTTGTATACTGACTAACTCGCCCAGGACTGTCCTCGTATCTCAAGACGGTAGATGGTGGTGATGACCAAATCCGTCTTCATCGAGGCACCCTCTCGTCATGTGCCTCGCACATCTGGAGCTGGACCGTCTGGGTCCTCTCTGTTCTTGTTGTCTCGACGATCATCTCATCCTGGAACTCCCCTGCCTCTGCGCCTGCTGCCATGACTTCGCCCCCCAAGGCCCCTGAGTCGATTCCTGCTCAGGTCTCGCCTCTCCGCAAGCGAAGCACCTGCGAAACTGGAGGTGTCAACAAGGCTGAGTACAACACTCCTCTCCATGTTGGAGCCTTGTTCATCATCCTGTGCGTTTCGACGCTTGCTTGCGCTTTCCCTATCATGGCCACCAAGTTCCCAGGTCTGAGGATTCCGACTCGTTTCTTCTTTGCTGTACGCCATTTCGGTACTGGTGTGCTGATTGCCACGGCTTTTGTCCATTTGCTCCCCACTGCTTTCATCTCTCTCGGGGACCCTTGCCTGAGCAGCTTCTGGAACCAGGACTACCCTGCTATGCCCGGTGCTATTGCTCTTGCTGCCATTTTCCTTGTCACTGTTATCGAGATGGTCTTTCATCCATCTCGTCATGTTTCGCCTACTGAGATCACGTCTGGAACTGACCAAGATGCTAAGAACGGCAACTCGAACAGTGGTGGATGCATGGGAGGCACAGGTATGCTTCCCATTCGGGACATGGGACCTATTCGTGGACGATCCTCTAGTATTGGCCAGGGCCTCTCCGTCCTGAACAGCAGAGATGAGCGACTGGATAATCTGGATGAAGAAGCTTGCGAAGAAGACGACAACGCTCAATCTGGAAGAAAGAACCTCGAGGAGACGAGCCTCGAGGCTGTACAGATGCCAAGCTTGACCCCAGAGCAGCAGCAACGTAAGGAGCTTCTTCAGTGCGTCTTGCTCGAGCTTGGTATTCTCTTCCACAGTGTCTTTATCGGCATGGCGCTTAGCGTTTCGATTGGCAACGAGTTCATCATTCTGCTGATTGCCATTGTCTTTCACCGTAAGTTGACATATCGTGTTGATGGCTTTGAACTTGGACTAATATGATTGTAGAAACCTTTGAAGGATTGGCTCTGGGCTCTCGAATCGCTTCCATCAAGTGGCCTCAAGGCAAGATGCAGCCTTGGTTTATGGCTCTCGCCTATGGATGCACGTAAGTATTCTATAGAAGCCACCATTTCTACTGTATCGCCTGCTAACATCAGGATCAGTACTCCTCTGGGACAAGCTATCGGCCTTGCTACCCACACACTCTACAGCCCCAACTCCGAAACCGGCCTCATCGTCGTTGGTATCATGAATGCCATCTCGGCTGGACTCCTCACCTTTGCTTCACTGGTTGAGCTTCTTTCTCAGGACTTCCTCAGTGACGAGAGCTGGCGATTCCTTCGCGGCCGTAAGCGTATCTACGCTTGCCTTCTGGTGTTCTTCGGGGCTTTCTTCATGAGTCTCGTGGGCGCTTGGGCTTAAGCAATGAGTATTCTACTCAGACCTGTCATGCATGCCTGATGCTTCAGGAATGTCATGTTAGGATACGATCCTCTGTGGTCTTGGTCCGTGCCCAGTTGTATGGTCGGAGTCTTGGTAGTATTATCGATCCTTTCTCATACTTCGGCTCAGGACCATTCTTTCCTCTTCTTTTCTTGGCTGATAGTGATTGGTTTATTGTAAAGCCGGATACATTATCATCTCTGCCAAGCTTCTGCTTCTGTTTCAATGACCGTGCTGCCCTTTTTACCCTCTTAGAGTCATATCTAAGTAGGGTCGTGGCGTACAAATCACCTTCTTTATATTTATGTTTCCAAGGGAAAAAAACATCTTGCTGTATATGATCTTGTAAGGGCTTTCAGGATTGTTCTGGATTGAGCTCAAAACAAATACACTCATTTGAACGAACCACGCTCATAAGTAGTTCCCCAAAACAGCATCACGACGTGACTCAATCTGCATCGTAAAGGTTTGTATTGGCGTTTATGCGAAGCTATCATGAGACAGTATTCTTATCAACAATACCCCTAGCAAACTCTCCAAAAGTAAGATGCTGCTTGATATCCACCTCTTCACCCAAATTGGGTTGAGTAAACACCGCCAAGGTGTTACGCGCAACCTTCCCATCACTAACACTAGCTCTCACGCCCCGGACAAAATGGGGCACAGCCTTAAAGCGACCAGCAGTGATACGCTCAAGAGCTTCACCAGTCTGAAAAGCGATACAATCACGAGGAATCTTGACCTGAACGGTCTCACCTGTACGAGACTTGATATACAGACCAGCTGAAGGATCAGGGGATGAGGGGAGCTCTTCAAGGGGTGGAAGAGAAGCACCGTTCAGGTTTGTAACTTCCGGTACAGCAGGGCTTGTCTTGTGCTCGTCGATGAACATGGCTGATGTAAGACCAGTCAAGCACCCATGGTCCAAATGCGTAGCACACCAATCATCATCATCGCCGCCATTGGCAGCAGGGTCGTTTTCTTGAGGGTAGTAATGCAGCAGACGGGCCTTAGTCGTACTAGAAGTGCTGACAACGTGCTCTAGGTATCCAGCTGGATAACCTGGGATATCCTCTTGTGCAAAGCGATCGCAAGCACGTGCGACGAGGACCGCTACGTCAATGATGAGACGGCATAGTGAGGTAACGGAGGGTTTGAAGCCAGGGAGGACATTCTCTGGTGGCCAGACATTGGGGGCAAGATATTCTGGGAATGTGTCGATTGAGAATTCTTCAGTGGGTTTGGCACATTCGAGAGACGGATCGATGTAGAATGCGCAGTTGGCGTAGTATGAACCCTTGAAGGTGTCGACTTGACCATTTTTGAGAGTCTCTTTTCCGAGAGACCAGCCCGTTAGATATTTAGCTTTGGCGTTCTCAAGCTTTTCTTAGAGTATGTTAGTGATGTTTGTTTTACAGGATCATGACAACGTACCAAGTTCTTCCTTGGGCAGGTTGCCGAGATATGAGGCGTAAGAGAGAGCTTGGTGTCTGAGTTCGGGGAACTCTTCGGGAACATCTTTTACGACGAGAATTCCCAGAGAATCAGGACCAAAGGCTTCTTTCAGGGTTTCAAAAGGAATGTTGCCTATGAATTGTTAGATCACGCTGCTTTATAAATCTACGAGATTCATCATGACAGCGGCGCTATCATGAATAGAGGTACGTACCGTCCTTGAGGTCCTGAAGAGACACGGAGACAGCTTGAGCTTGGGCAACCATTTCGACTAGGATATAACAATCGATAACTTAACTTACACGGTAAATAAAAAATAAATGGAGTTGAAGAATTATTCTCATCTTTATTTCTTTTTCTCTTACAGAGGTTACCATGAGTTGCGGGGGAGGATCGATTACATAACCAATCACCTTCCCGAACAGCTCAGTTCCCGTAGTGGAGCTCGCCGTATCCCGGCGTTGACCGTCGGCCCAAGACAACCTCAAACCTCCAACTACATCATACTAAACCTCGAATATCCGATCATGGTTAAGCCATTGACATTCAAAGGCGACAAGAAAGTCAAGAAGCGAAAGCGAACAGACACCGAGAAATCTCAACGCGATGGTGTAGACGACGAAGCTGGGCAGTTGCAAAAGACTGGTGAAGATGCAGAGAATGACGACAGTTGGGTTTCTGCTGAGGCAGTCACTGATGTTGTTGGACCGATCATGATTGTTCTACCGACCGATGAACCTTCGGCGCTGGCGTGTGATACAACGGGAAAGGTGTTTACGATTCCGATTGAGAATATTGTCGATGGGAATCCTGCGACGGCGGAACCGCATGATGTGCGACAGGTCTGGATCGCGAATCGCGTTGCTGGAACAGAGAACTTTCGCTTCAAGGGCCATCACGGAAAGTAAGTCGCTCTCCCTTCTATATCTATAACCCGTAGCTAATGCGCAACCACAGATACCTCTCCTGCGACAAAATCGGTCTCCTCTCAGCAACTTCCGAAGCCGTATCCCCCCTCGAATCCTTCAACGTGATCCCCACAGGCGACACACCCGGAACATTCCAACTCCAAACCCTGCGCGACACATTCCTCACCATAAAAGCACCCAGCAAAGCCTCCTCCAAAACCATAGACGTGCGTGGTGACGCAGACACCATCTCCTTCGACACGACGTTTAGGATAAGAATGCAGGCGCGGTTCAAGCCCAAGTTGCGCGCGTCGAAGGAGGAGAAGGCGTTGGCGAAGATTAGTCGAAGGGAGTTGGAGGAGGCGGCGGGGAGGAGGTTGGATGAGGATGAGGTGAGGAAGTTGAAGAGAGCGAGGAGGGAGGGCGATTACCATGAGGCCTTGTTGGAGATTAAGGTGAAGAGTAAGCATGATAAGTTTAGTTGAGGGTACAAAGGACATGGAAGAAAGAGAACAGGGATGTTCATGGTTCAAAAGCAGAGGCTGCTGTGAGTATTGATGCCTATGGTCCTTGGTGCTATCGGCTAACGCTTTGTTCTTAACAAAAGCTACCAATAGCCGGTTCAAGACTCATGTATTCAAAAGCCAGAGGGATTCGGATGGCTGGATCGACGGCGATTCCTGCCCGTAATTCGAACCAGATAAAGTGTGTTTGGTTGAAGCTCATGCAGCCAAATACTTATACCAAATAATACATAATGAAATTGCATCTTCAACAGAAGGTACCATCCCTTCATGATTCAAGGGTATTCCTGAACGAACTGAGGTGAATGTATTACCTCTCAGTAACAAGTCCTCAACCAGGATATGTCAAAACGTACACTCTGCCCCGTCTAATTTGATCGCTGTATTGTTTATCTATTTTATCTTCATCCACTTTCCTCAATTGGGTCTCCAAGCCTTGACATTTCCATCCTCGCCAGCAGTATACACAACATGAGCCTCATCAAAGAAGCAAAACGACCGTACAATCTCTTCTCCATGAGCACCAGGCAAACCAACACTGTTCTCCCGATCCAGCGCCCATCCTTCACCATTGGGGTTCCTAGCAAGGAAGACGAGCTCAAAAGCTTGCTTACTATATAATATTAGCACTGGACTTCACAAGAAGGGGTCATTGTCATCTTACTCTTGAGCTCCAGCACCAAGGATAGCTCCACTACCGTCCATCTTGGGCGTAATATCAGCGACGTACTGACATCCCAGAACAGATCTCATATCTCCAAAGTCCTGCACAGCATCACCGTTTGCGCGCTCCTCGCTAACATCATAAAGAGCACATCGCTCGTCATGCGATAGAGCAGCTACTTCTGTCGCCGAAAGCCATGCAGCGCGGTGGATAGAAGCGTCGACGTTACAAGTCTGCACTGTGAGATCGTCTTCATCTGCAACGCGGGTGTCGTACACGTTGACGAGACCGTCTGTTGAGCCGGAAAGGAGAAGAGCTGGGTTGGAGGGGTTGAATGATAGATCTGTTACGTCGTCGCTGTGGACTTCTTGGTAGTGTGCTTTGGAGGATGGTGTTGAGCGGACGTCCCTGCCATTGTTAGGGAGGAGGCTTGAGTAGTAAGGAGGGGGTTTACCAGAGATGGATTGATGCTGTGTGGTTTTGAAGTTCTGTTCCTACGGCGATAGTCTGTGTATCAAGACTACAAGCCATAGATAGAATAGGAGCTTGGCTAGCTACAATCACAAGATCAGCAACTATCCTACCCATTACTTCACTCATATCTGCCACTCACCTTGAAATTGCACGACACTCGCACCCTGTCTCAAATCCCACACGCCAACAGTTCCATTCTCACCAGCAGTACAAACAATAGAAGCACTGCTATCAAATACCCGCAATGTGGTCAAGTTGCCATGCTGCGTGGGAAGACGGCGCTGAGGGCCTGTTGAGAGACGAGTTGGGTCGAGAACAGAGAGGAACTGGTCTGATGAGATAGAAGCAAGACCGACAGATGTTCTGTGTATATCGAGGACGTATACGTCTCTGCCGAGGGAGAGACCGTCGGCGTAGTTGAGTGTGTACATGACGGCTATGATGAGTGTTAGTGAGTTTGAGGATGGTATGTGAAGAAATTGACGAGATCTTAGTATCGTCAAACGTAACAGCCCGAAGACTGAATAAAGGAAATGGGACCTGTTTGTGTACCTACCTTGAACAGTTAAACTATATCACTATTATCCTTAAGTAGGGATTTGCATAAGCCTGATGGTATTGCGACCCAAATGTTCAAGATCGAAGTCTTCAAAGTCCCACTTTTCATTGTGAATGGCGGCCTCGATAACTGAATATCGCCCAACTTTGGATTCAAATGCCTAGAAATTCAGACTCGCAAGAAATCAATTACATGTCGTCGATACTAATAAATTCATCATATTTTATGTCCAGTAGTTTCATACAATCATTAGTCACTTGAAGTACCTTTGCTGCACCATGTTATCAACAGTCACGCCTAAACGAGAACAACCCATGATGCTAACATCTCTAATCTTACATGTATTTTACAATTATTATCTATCGCTCGCCATGTGTGTTACAGTGCTCCGTCTA